TTTTTTTTTTTTTTTTTTTTTTTTGAGACGAGTCTCCCTGTTGCCCAGGCTGGAGTACAGTGGTGTGATCTCAGCTCACTGCAACCTCAAGCGATTCTTCCACCTCAGCTTCCTGAGTAGCTGGGTCTACAGGCATGTGCCGCCATGCCCAGCTAATTTTTGTATCTTAAGTAGAGACGGGTTTCATCATGTTGGCAAGGCTGGTCTCAAACTCCTGACCTCGTGATCTGCCCACCTTGGCCTTCCAAAGTGCTGGGATTTACAGGTGTGAACCTAACCCTCCTTATCTTAACTCAAACTGACTTCAACTCTTCAGGCAGAGTTTAACTCTTTCAACCAATTGCCAATCAGGAAATCTTTGAATCCACCTAGAAACTAGAACCCCCGTCTCCTCTCTGGGCAAACCAATGTATACCTTAATTGTATTGATTTATGTTTTTGCCTGTAACTTCTATCTCCCCAAAACATATAAAACCAAGCTGTAACCCAATCATCTTGAACACATGTTCTCAGGACTTTCTGAGACTGTCAGATGCCATGGTCTTTAACCTTAGCAAAATAAACCTCTAAATTGATTGAGACTTGTCTCAGATACCTTTTTTCCCCCCAAGACAGAGTACTCTGTCGCCTAGGCTGGAGTACAGTTCTGTGATCTCTGCTCACTGCAACCTCCACCTCCAGGGTTCAAGCGATTTTCTTGCCTCAGCCTCTAGAGTAGCTGAGATTGCAGGTGTGCCCCATCACACCTGGCTAATTTTTTGTATTTTTAGTAGAGATGGGGTTTCACCATGTTGGTCAGGCTGGTCTTGAACTCCTGACCTCAAATAATCCACTTGCCTCAGCCTCCCAAAGTGCTGGGATTATAGGCATGAACTACCACATCTGGCCTCAGATACTTTCTGGTTTACATACCTCTAACTCACTCTCCTTCCTTTCATAGCCAATTTCTTGAAACAGTTGTCTCTTCTTTTGGTCTTCATTTCCTAGTCTCCCATTCCAATTTGAATTCCATGCCACATCATACTGTGATAACCTGCTTTTTGCCAGCTAAAACTAACTCTTTCTCAGATTAAAAGCTGTTCAGGCTTTATGTTAGCTTCTTGAGCCGGACAGACTCCATCTTAGCTTCTTCATATTAGTTATTTTCCCACCATCAAGTATGTAACTATAGTATGTAGCTGGGGTGGGCTGACACTGGGCACCTCCCGGAATGCATTTGTTGATAAGAGGCCTAGTTAAGTGGTACCAGCAAAGCCTGGGAATGCAGGCAGGTGCTGTCCGGTGCTCAGAGCCCCCATTACCTATATAAGTTGTATGTCTTTGGTGATACCTTTACCCCTCGCACCTGGCACTGTTTTACTTCTCATGTACTAGTTTATCTTTTAACTTTTTTGCTTAGTCTGCTTTTGCGAAAAATTTGCTTCAGCTAGGTTTCCCCTCCCCTTCAAAACTAGGGTATAAAAGACCACCTAACTTTTTCTTAGGTGCTAAGAGAATTTTGGGCGTTAGCCACCTCTCAGTTGCCAGCATAATAAAGAACTCATAATTCAATCTCAGAGTGTGGCGCATTCCTTGACTGGCTCGGCTACAACAATACTACTAAATTCCGTATCACATCACATATACTCTTGCTAAGGTCACAGAGGACCTTCATGTTTCTAAATTCAATGAGTATTTTTTAGTCTTTACTCCCTCCCAGAGGTACTCTCCTTTGGTCTCCTTTATTTTATTCTCTAAGTTTTCCTCTTCTCTGCCTGCTTGGACTTCTTTGCAACTGTTCTTATTTTTCCTAGTCATTAAATATTAGCAATCTCCGGGGCTCTGGTCTTTTTTTCTTCTTACTCTACATTCTCCTTAACTGATTCCCTTCAGTTGCTTCAATTACTACTGTGAGCCAGTAACTCCCAAATCTCCTGCTCACATCCATATACAGGACCGTGTTCTTTGTTGTCAACTCAATCGTTCAAAACACAACTCATGCTCTTGATTTCTTACTTCACTCCTTAACCATCTTTTTCACTGATAGTTTCACTCCTTGTTCAGTAAATGGTACCATCATTTAGAGTTGTTCAAGGTACTCCAAAACTGCTCTTCAACCCTCCTATTTCTCTCTGCTTCTATATCACCACCCAAATCCAGGCCCCATCAGATCACACCAGGATTCCTCTAATATTCTCCTAACTGGTCTCCCAAATCTACTTTTGCTCCTTCCAATCAATTTTCTTTTCTTTTCTTTTCTTTTTTTCTGAGATGGAGTCTTGCTCTGTCACCCAGGCTGGAGTGCAGTGGTATGATCTTAACTCACTGTTCAGATGATTCTCCTGCCTCAGCCTCCCAAGTACCTGGAATTACAGGTGCCCACCACCAGGCCCGGGAAATTTTTGTATTTTTAGTAGAGATGGGGTTTCACTATGTTGGCCAGGTTGGTCTTGAACTCTTGACCTCAAGTGATCTGCCCTCATGGGCCTCCCAAAGGCATGAGCCACTCTGCACCTGGCCCCTCCAATCCATGTTCTAAAAGGTAGCCAGAGACAGTCCTTAAAACCCAAAAACTTCTTTAAAACTCATTTTCCTTTTTTAAGACCTTTAATGATTTATTTCTGTCCTATGACAATATTGGAAAAATTCTAATAGGCCAGTATATGTAGCGTCTCCTCAAGTTACGGTTTTGGGAGGCTGTTAGAAAACATGATATTGCTGGTTTGAATCACATATTAGCACGACTTGTTAAAATCCTGTGCTCCAAGTCTGTTGGCAGGTGATCCCGCATGCTCAAGAGCACTCCCAACTATGTGGACACTTGGAGGGTTATCACCACCCAAGAAGATGTCACATTACTTAGACTTTAAACCCTGAGTGAGGCCAGGTGCGGTGGCTCACACCTGTAATCCCAGCATTTTGGGAGGCCAAGGTTGGCAGATAACTTGAGGTGAGGAATTTGAGACCAGCCTGGCCAACATGGTGAAACCCTATCTCTACTAAAAATAGAAAAATCAGCCAGGTGTGGTGGTGCATGTTTATAATATTCCAGCTACAAGGGAGGCTGAGGCAAAAGAATCATTTGAGCCCGGGAGGCAGAGCAAAACTCTGTTTGAAAATAATCCCAAAAAACCAAAAACCCGTGAGTCAATTCCAATAGTTTTGTGTATCTTAAGTCCCCAGTAAGCATATTTTACAGAGAGGGAATAGGAAACTAAGACTCTAGCTGGGGAAGCATGCAAAAACCTTTGGTTAAAATTGTGAATGGAATAACCTAAATGTCCATCAACTGATGATGGATAAACAAAATGTATATACATACAAGAGAGTATCATTCAACCATAAAAAGGAATGATGTTTTACTAGGTGCAAAAACGGATGAATTTTGAAAATATTATGCTAAGTGCAAAAAGACGCAACAAGACACATATTGTATGATTCTAGTTAAATGAAATGCCCAGAACAGGCAAATACCTGGAGACAGAGAGATTACTGTCTCCCTAAGGCTGGGAGTAGTGGGTAATAGGTAGTGTCTGCAAGTTTTATTAGATAGTGTGATAGTTGCACAACCAGTGAACATACTAAAACTCACTGAATTGTGCACTTTAAAAGGGTGAATTTTATAGTATGTGAATTACATCTCAAAAAAAGAGAAAACAGAGCAGGCTGTGGCCCAACTGATGTATCACTGCTCTTAGAAGAAAGCCCAATTTAAAATTGAGCAGAATAAGACCTACAAGGCCCCGTGACTTGGTCCCTGCCTGCCTCTCCCAAACAAATAAACAATTAAAACGTATAGTATGTAAGAACAATAATGGAAAAAAAGGCAGAGCAAGGGATGGGGCAGTTCTGGTGTCAGATGATTTGTTATTTAAATAAAGTGGTCGGGAAATGCCTCCCTGATAAGGTGACAATAGGGGCCCGGAAAAGTCAAGCGAATACACAATATAAAAAATTTTCAGTGCTTCCTCATAACTTTGCTCACTCCATTCCAGCTAAATTAGCCACAGTTTCTGTTCCCTCCATCTGAAATGCTCTCCCTCTCATTCTTCCATTCTTCCTCTTGTTAACTCCTACTCCTGTAGTTCTTAGTAACAGTCGGAACAGACGTGGCCTGAGGGCGGGGGGATCTATTACCTTCAGGGTACAGTTTAGAGGTCACTTCCTCAGGGAAGCCTTCCCTTCTCTCATTTCCTTTTAAAGCTCCCAAAATAGCATCTTCAAGTACTTACTTGAACCCTGTAGTGGGTCATTTTTAGCTTTTGGTCCCCTTCAGACAAGCTCTGGCAGGCCCTTGACGTATTCTGTGACCAAGCCCCCTATTAATCGCGGCACTTAATGGGGGGTGGAGTGGGAGTCCTGGATTCAAAGCTTGGCTCCAACACAAGGTAACTGCAGCAAGAGGTGAGCCCGCTGTGATTTCTATGAAACCCAGGGAAGGGCTGCTTGACTGACCGATCATCAATGAGATCTGCAACCTCTCTCAGAGCGGCCCCAGCGCCGAGTCCCCGGCCCTACACACTTAGAACCCAGTAACAGGGCTCAAAATCACTGAACCTCGGGCTCCTAGTCCCCCAACGGCGCATTTCCAATCCCCAGGCCTGACCTGCAAGTTCCGGGTGATAAGCTGCAGTTTCTCTTCAGGGCTGGGAGCGTCCCCCATGGCTCTGCTACCACTGCTTCCCACACTTAGCCCGGCACCAGAGGCCCTTCCTGGGTCACCGTCGCCACCGCGTGCCGGGAACTGTCACGCGAGTCCAGCCAGGTTGCATCAGCTGAGCTCGTCGCTCGGCTTGCTTGGCCTGAACCCCTCCCCTCCCGGCAATAGCCGGAAAAAGTGAGGAACAGTAGAGAGTCGAGCAGTTCGATGAGCCTGGAAAAGGTGGAGCCGGTGGGCAAGGAAGGCGGTGCGGAGGGCGGGGCTGAGGCGCCTGCGCGGGGCGCAACCCTCCTAGAGGCGGGGCGGTTTTCTGCCAATCACTGCTGGTTTGCCCTCCCGCCCGTGTTGGTCGGGTGGACTCCGGGTGGGGGAGGTCGGGGAGGGGGCGATAAAATGGCGCAGGGGGCGGAGTGAGGCGCAGTCGTTCGCCCAGGCTTTGGCCCGGCTTCCGGAGGTGAAGAGCGGGAGAGACGAGGGGGTCGGCGTTACCCGTCCGGGAGGGGGATGGGGGCGCCTGTTGCTTCTCCAAGGGGCTGCGCACGCCGCTGGCCCCTTGGAGGGATTGAGAGGCCCACGCCCTGCTGCGAGAAGGGCGCGTTCTAGCGCTTGAGGTGACGGCGAGGGAATGTCCCTGCCCCCCACCTTCAAGTCGGCGGGCGACAGATGCCCCTCACCCTGCTGAGGAAAAAGGAAGCTCCCTGGTCGTCTGAGAGTCGGGGAGCGCCGTCTGCAGTCTCTGCCCAGTGGGGGTGGGGACCGTGGATGTGTAGGTGGCGGGGGACGCCTCTGCCCCGGCCAGCTTGGCGGGAGGCTGTTGCCGGCGGGAAGCTCGCGAGCTTTTCTGCCGCGTCTCGTGGGTGGGGGCAGAAAGAGGACGACGCTTCCCCCGGGAAGATTTGAGCACGGTGGTCCCCGGGAGAGAAGTGCACCGCCCGGGCCTGCTGAGGGGCGAGTTTGCCCCTGCTGGGGGAGGGTCAGGGAGAGAGAACCCTAGCTTCTCCCGCCTTCCGTGGGGAGGCGGGAATTCGCGTTGTCCTCAGAGGAGGGAGGGGCAAAGGCCCTTCCTGGAGGGTGACACAGTCCCGGGCTGCATTTGTAAGGGAGAGCCAAGGCAGTATCCTACAAAGGTTGGGCCTGGGTCACACCCTTCCTCCTGGTCCTCAGGGGCTGGAAGCGGCGTCACCAGTTATTTCCTAGGCAAGTGGGAAAGCAGGTGGCTGCCTCAGGGTGGGCCCTGGAGAGGTCCTAGAAGTGGTTGAATTGCCCACTGCCTGCCCTAACCTGATCTCCAGTTTTTTTGTGTATTTGTTAGGGACTCCAAGCTCTAGCCGACCTGCCTAGAATGTTTTAAAGCACATTTTCTTTTTAAAAAGAAACCTGTTGCTGCAGCTTAGCAAGTCGGTTCTCTGTGTCCATGTGGGAGGAGAATCCTGGCACCCTCATCTAGTGAAATATTACCTAAAGCAAAGATTTGCAGCCCTGGGTTGTTTTTTCCGTCCTGCAGTGTTTTTAGTTACCTCGAAGGAATTTGCGAAACTGTTACAGATAATTTCAGTTCATTTTGATTTTTTGTAAATGTTGTGTATATTTTATGGAGTGATAAAGCCTGCTGCTGAGTGTGTTTCGTACTGTGTGCTTCACACGTACTGCATTTGGGAAGGGTTGGAAATCAAAGGCCAGGGGGAGGTCTTGTCCACTGGAAATAATCTCTGCCCTTGGCCGTACCTGTCAGATCCTGCTTGGTAATGGTCTTGATTTTAGAGCTTGAAAGAGTATGTGGGTTTGCATCTAGTGTTGCAGTTTTAGTGGCCTCAGTAAAATAAGGCTTTGTGCTCGAGGCAGTAGGTTTTCTGAGGTGAGATAAAAATAGAAAGGGAACCAGTTTCTGAGGTTGCAACCAGGAGGTTCGAGAACAGAGAGAGGGGGTGGTAAACTGAAGTGTGAAGAAGGGGGTGGACAGGTGAGAGATGTGGAAGGACAGAATAGGGTCACAGAAAGGATGGGGTGTAGAGGAACTAAGAGATAGAATTAGGAGATCGGAAAAATATTCTTCCCTTAAAAATAAAGGGGTATGGCCGGGCGTGGTGGCTCACGCCTGTAATTCCAGCACTTTGGGAGGCCAAGGCTGGAGGATTGCTTGAGGCCAGGAGTTCAAGACCAGCCTGGCCAACATGACAAAACCTCATCTCTACTGAAAATACAAAAATTAGTTAAGCATGGCAGACGTCTGTAATCCTAGCTATTGGGAGGCTGAGGCACAACAATCACTTGAACCTGGGAGGTGGAGGTGGCAGTGAGCCCAGATCATGCCACTGCAGTCCAGCCTGGGTGACTGAATGAGACCCTGTCTCAAAAATAAAAATAAAATATAAAATAAAAATATACAGGAGTCCCCATGTTTTACGTGGAGGTTACCAGGCAAGTACCAAGAAAGGTGGTAGATGGTAGACAGAAATGTAAGTAACTCTTCTTTTAACAAGTAAGGCTGTCTTTGGAATTTCACTTAAGAACTTCAATTTTATCTGAGGATCCCCCCCACCCCGCCCTTTGCACATTCGTTAAACATAAGGGTTTTTTTGGTATAGAACTTTTAGGTTTAGACTGCTTTCATGAGCATCCTCTTTCTTCATGATAATACGTGTTTGAAGTTAACAGAATTTAATGGGTGTTCTCATCTGTATTGAGGTTCAGAGACTAAGTGAAATGCTAAGGTCCAGTACCTCTATAAAGGATAGTTCAGTGAACATTAATTTGCAGAATTTGCCTGATATTTCAGATGTCTGTTTAGGTCTTTGGTGACAATATGGTTGAATGCTGGATTAAAATTGATGAGACTAGAGCATATTAGATAATTTCAAGCAGGGTCTAGAGGAAGTTCCCTACCAGTTTGGCACTCTTTTTTCCTGAGGTTCCTTTGCTTCTCTTAAGACTGACTCTTCAGGGGTCAGGGCAGTGATCATGGTGGAGTGAAATAATAACTGTGGCCACCAGTTATTTGTCTCTTACATTGTGCCTCTAGTGTGCTAAATTTATGTTTGTGATCTCATTTAATTCTTGTCACAACCTTGTCAGGTAGGCTCTGATATTTGAGACTTCACAGAGTATAATCATTGTCTTTCCCATTGACTTCATAATTTTAAAATGTTTTTATTATTTCAAGCATATAAAAAAATATGCTGGGTGTGGTGGCTCAATGCCTGTAATCCCAGCACTTTGGAAAACTAATGCAGAAGGATTGCTTGAGTCCAGGAGTTCAAGACCAGTCTGGGCAACATAATGAGACTCTGTCTCTACAAAAAAAGAAAAAAATTAGCCAGGTATCGTGGCGTGGTCCTGTAGTCCCAGCTACTCAGGAAGCTGAGGTGGACGACTGCTTGGGCCCTGGGGTTCAAGGCTGCAGTGAACTATGATCACACCACTGTATTCTGCCTGGGCAACAAACCTGAGACCCTATCTCAAAAAAGTAACAATTTTAAAACAGTATAGAAAGTAACATAATAATAACGAACATTTTAATGCCCACCATCCTGCTTTATCTTAGGTTGCCATATTTGTTCCAGGTCTCTTCATGCTATTTTTTTTCTTTTTCTTGTTTTCCTTATTTATTGTCATGTGGCCTAAGATGAGATATTGTTTTCTTAAGAAATAAAACGTTGGCCGGGCGCGATGGCTCACGCCTGTAATCCCAGCACTTTGGGAGGCTGAGGCAGGTGGATCACAAGGTCAGGAGTTCCAAGACCAGCCTGGCCAAGATGGTGAAACCCCATCTCTACTAAAAATACAAAAATTAGCCAGACCTGGTGGTGCACACCTGTAATCCCAGCTACTCGGGAGGCTGAGGCAGAGAATTGCTTGAACCTGTGAGGCAGAGGTTGCAGTGAGCTGAGATCGTGCCTCTGTACTCCAGCCTGGGCCATAGAGCGAGACTCCGTCTCAAGAAAAATAAAAGAAACATTGCAGATATAAGTATAGTTACCCATGTGCCTTTGCCATTCCTCTTCTCTCTCCACCACCAGAGGTAACCACTATCCTGAATTTGGTATTCCTCATAGTCATGCATATTTTAATAATTGTATGATATATATATCTATACATAATATGTGGTGGTACTCTTTCTTTTTTTTTT